AATTCTGCATAATGTGCAGGACAGAATTTGTGGAGTCAGTGTAAAACCAAAATTTCGACTCGGAGCGACCCCGAAACTCAACCCCGACGTGAACCAACAGTCAAAGCGGCGTCGCGAAAAAAGCACCCTTTTCCGAAATCGCGTGTCTTCGCTCAGGGAGAAATCAACGCGACTCGCCCGCCGACATTTGTCATCGTCGGCTAATTAAACCGCCCCTCCGTTGCCGGACGCAGAGACGTGCAAAGTGCCTGTCCCCTCCCCTCCTCTCCCCGATTCTCGCAAGTCGATCACCGATGACCCGCGCGACTTCCTCTCTTTCTCTTGATCTCTTTCTCTTTATCTTTCTGTCTATCTATCCGCCTCTCTCTTCCTCTTTGTTTTCCGCTCCCAAAGCTCCGGGCAATAATGAACGCGTCAATTTTCCATCTCGTCCCATCCGTCCTTATCGCCCTTCTCGCCCACCTCCTCCTCCCGTCCCGTCGCCCTCTCTCCTCCATCCCTTCGAAGCTGTCCCTATTTTCTCGTGCCATTTTTTTCCGGCGCTCCTTTCACTCGTTATCGGCCGCTCGCTAATGGCACACGATTGCCTTTCGCGTTTATCCACCCCTGCATCTGGACCGGCCTGCACCGGCCATCGCCGTCGCCACCGCCGCCGCCGCCGCCGCCATCGCCACCGCCACCGCGACCTTTGCCCTCGACGTCGCCGACACGCGAGCCCATCCCCGACGTTCTCATTTTTCGCGACGCGGATCGACATCCCGGCCTCGTGCGGTCCTCCTCCTCCCACACGCCACGTTGGGAAATTAACCCTTCATGGGCGGCAGCAAAGGGAGAAGACCTCGAAATTCCGCGAAATTTCTTTTCCACCGGCTGGCGAGCCCGCGACGTTTATCGTTCTCTCGCGCCACTTCCGCCTCGAGTCCCATTCGACCTCGGCGAAATGGCGTTCCGAAAAACCGACCGAGTGTTTTTTTTTTTTCACAAATGGGACTCATACGCGAGCCTCGGCAGAGAACGCGAAGATAACGGCGCACTCACACGAATCCTCCCCGTTCCGCTCTTCTTTGTCCGTCCCGGAAAGAAAGAGGTTGGCCGCTTATTAGGGAGCATTCCGCACGGTAATAGAGATAATTTACTTATTTATACGAGAGAAAAGGACGAAACGCGCGTGTGGACTCTCGAGCCGCCTACTCCTCCTCCCGCGGAAGGGTTAAATCCCTGATCCTACACTCGGAGGGTTTTAAAGATTCAATAAAAGGCTCGGACGAGCAAATGGATCTTAAATATAACATTTCTCCGGTTCGATCCATCGCCCCGGGGAAAATGGACGGCGCTATGCGCGCGCTCGATTCAGATAGAAAAGCCTCCGCCGCCGCCGCCGCGGAACGTCGCGCTTTTTCAAATTTACATAATTGACGAGGGCGAGCGCAAAAAGTCGCGAGAGACGATCGTTTCCAATTTCGAGCTAATTTTACGGTCAAATTGAAAACGCAGTCGTCGTTATTATTATAACCGAGCGCGCTTATCGATCGGCAAGGGCCATTAAACTCGAAACGACGACGAATATAGTTATTTCATAGATGAATGGAGGGCTATTGCGTTCGACTGGCTATTAACAATTTCGTGTGGTCTCGTGATCAATTATTATGTATTCATTTACGCGTGTGTGTGTGTGTGTGTGTGTGTGTGTGTGTGTATGCGAGCGAGTGCACTCGTGCGTGTGTGTGTGCGTGTATGTGCATGCACATAGCAACAATTTCGCACCACGATTCGACGGCGATTTATATCCCTCTTCTCCTCTACGTTTCGGGCACGCGCCGCTTGAAAATTGCGAGACGTTGTCGTCGAACGTTTTCACTTAATTACAGGCGCCACTTAAGTGGCAGGAATCGCGAATGTGCAGCGGCGAGTGAATAAAATTGGTCGCCGCCGATATCGGACTATATTTGTATGCATCGCTAAGGGCCGGTTGAATAACCCAGATCCGCTTAATTCCGCGGAGGTATAATGGACCGCGAGCGCGATGACGCGGAATATCGAGATTTTTCTCGGCGCTCGCATGCTATCTCCCCCCTCTCGTCGAAGAGGAATGAAAATTTGATTCGCGACCAACTAATCGAGTCGCTTGGCACACACCGACACGCCATTCAGATCACATTATACGAATAAGTACAGAAGGAGAGAGAAAGAAAGATATATATACATATATATATATATATATATATATATATATATATATATATATATATATATATATATATAAAAATATAA